GAAGAACCCAAAGATGGCCTGTGGCTGTTTTCCTTCAACTTTTGGATATAAGCACCGTCAACTTTTTTGTTTTATTTAACTCTTATGGGGGAAACAAAACTATTGAACGGAGTAGGTTTTTAAAAAACTTAGCATTGTCTTTTGTTAAAAAACACATGATGAGGCGCCATAGCAACTATTTCATTAAAAATTCGTCTGGATATCGCAGATATTCTAAATCTTGTAGAAGAAGCAAGTTCCATGGTGCAGAAACAATGCTATTTGTGTCCTAAAAGATCTCATAGGAAAACTAAGGTCTTGTGCATTCGCTGCCATAAACCAATTTGCCTTTAGTGATCATCCAAAATTTGTAAAATCTGTTCAACTAAAAATGTCTAAATTTGGTAGTTGCACGTTTTAATTTGTTCAAACAGATTTTTTTGTATTTTATGTATTGGTTTCTTTTTTCTTACTTTTTTGGTGAATATTGTCACGTCAAGCGTGTTTTTAATAAAAAATGTCACGATTTATGTGTTCTTTAATAACACGGGCACACACAAAAAAAAGTTGTTTGTACATCAGACATGACCCGCTGAATCCGAATATCAAGTCAGTTTGGGCCGTCCATCCTTAAATATCGAGTAAATTGTAAAAATAGTCAAAATAAGATAATTAGTAATAAAAAAAATTTAAGAATCGAAACCAAGCATAATTCTTATGTATTTCGATCCGCTGAATACTGCGGAGGTCATTTGAGAACAAAAAAGTTTGATACCAACAAAAAACAGTTTAAAATCTGAGAAAATCTTTCGCCTCATTCAGTTCATACATCAGTTTTTAGAGATATTGCAAGGGTGGATATTGAAGGGTCGACGGCCCAAACTGACTTGAAATTCGGATTCAGCGGGTCAAAATACATACCGTAGGTCGTGTCTGATGTACAAACAACTTTTTTTTTGTGTGCCGGTGTAATTAGAGACCAGCTATGTCTCAGGGGGTTAGACGATAAGGGTCTAAGCACTAAATTACTATAACTTGACTTCGTAGCCCTTAACTGTATATTGGTTTTACTCTTGAGATTAGAACCTAACACGTCCCTGAAAAAGGGCTAAAGGAAACACAGTGTTCTCAAAACAAATATAGTATTATAATTAAAATAATTATACAAAATAGGTCCTAACTGGACACACACAAATATGGAGCTCAATATAATAATAAGAGACAATAAAGTATTAACTTATCAACTCCGCTAATATTTGGGGCACACGTCACAACCCTTGATCAATACCACGATTCAAAAACACAAAAAGGCTCTAAGTCTTTGAGACCAAGATGCGGCCTAGCTATGCGGAGAATCCCCGTTTGTGACATATTTTATTTATATTTAATAATTATTGAATAATCAGCCTTGTACATGATTGCAACTTAAAACAAGTTCACGACATAATTAAAAAATCTTCTATGTACAGGATGTTATTTAAATAATTAATTAGAATTTGGAAAAAATGTGAATTTATACGAAGCGTGAGAATATTTTATTAATTTTTCTCATGGAATGGTTATAAAATAATAAATATTAGATTTGTTAAAAATAATGGGCAAAAAATAATTTAACTCGAATAATGTAACATTTTCAATAAAATATATGTGATTTCATTAGTTTTATTGGAAAATATATAGCTAAAAAGGCAACAAAATAAACTTTTTTGTTTTATTTACTTTTAATTTTTTTTTGTATAAGAGATTTTATTGAGTAGTCTCTCAGACTCACTGTAGTAACAGTGTTAGAAAAACATTCTATAGTAAAAAAAATGGCACGCCAATGTTTTTCCCCAAATAAAAATTATTTTAAAATTCCCCGCTCAGTTTTAATCTTAAAGGATTTTATGGTTTGTTTTCCTACGTTGTTGAGTAAAAAAATAAAAACTGTTGGATTGTCCGAGAAAATTGAAAAATTAAATAAAAAAAAATTGACATTTGGGCCATAGTTTATAAAGCAAACTATCACTAATTTTTCATGAAGATTTACATCCCTAAATATTTGCATATCATTGCATACCAGCTTGTATAACAAACAGTTCAGAACGCAATGTGAGAAAGTCGAAAAATAATTTTGTTTTAAAGAATTAAAAGCTTCTTTCAAAATTGTCTTTTTTTCTTTGAAGCTGACAAGCTCCAGTCATTTTAGACTTTTGAAGTTATTAAACCTATCGTCTATGTGATCCGAGATATTGACAATGATTTCGTATCTTCAATTCGTTCAAATTGTTCACTCTTAGACAGAACTACCGACTTGAATTTTTCTCACACACATTTATATCACTCATTTTACTTTATAGAACGTTAAATAAATTATCACAGCAAGAAAATATTTTAGAGAAAATGAGTAACAAAAATTTCAAATCAGTTTCTCGGTGTAACATGTTCAAATATCCGGTAGAGCAAACCACTGTTTCATTGTCCCAATCCTGTCTGCTATCCACTATTTTTTTAAAGAAGTCAACGAGTGGAAGCCCCTATTCAAAAACAGTCTTTACTAGCCTGCCACTGTAACTCCATCTAGTGGGGACTACTCTTGGTAACCTTTTATTAACCTCTTGATTCAATGGATGCTAGGCCGCTTAACGTTTGAAACAATACTTTGCATTGTTTTATACACTCACTGGCACGAAAAACGGAGCAGTTGAATTTTTTTAAACAAACTTAAAATTTTAATGCTTTGTGATGTTTTATTAATATAATATCTTAAACATAAACAAAACAACATGTTTTAAGTATTTTCTAACAACAATTGAACCTTTATTTGAAGAAAAAAAGGGTTTTGTAACAATTTAAAAAACGAAGACGAAAAAGCACAAATTGGTGTTGTTGCTAAATGACCTTAAATTAATCAAAACTGAAACGACTTGCTAGCAAAAACTGGGGAGCCACATTTTTAATAACGTGTGTTGCCCCCACGTGCTTGAATAATAACCTGCATCCTCCTTGGCATGCCTAAAATTAAGTGGCGAATGTCCTCTTGAGGAATATGTTCCCATTCCTCTAAAAGAGCTTGTTGCAACTGATTTAAAGTTAAAGGAACAGGAACACGACTTCGCATCCTTCGCCCAAGCATGTCCCAAACATGTTCAATTGGGTTCGCATCCGGGCTTAACGCTGGCCACTCCATAACAGGAATGTTTACATCGTTTAAGTACTGTTGAGTGATTCTCGCGATGTGAGGTCTGGCATTATCATGCATTAGAAGAAAGTCATTTCCAATAAAGTCAACATAAGGGACAACAAAATCTTGGAGAATGTCATCAATGTACCTGGCAGCAGTTAAGGAGCCTCTCGGAAGAATGAACAATTCTGTGTGTGCCTCCATAGAAATTCCAGCCCACACCATAACTGAGCCTCCTTGGTAGCCTACCCTAGGACTGAAGGTACATTCAGCGAAACGCTCTTGTGGTCTTCGCCATACTCTCTCACGACCATCTGGAGACCGCAGGCTAAATCTGGACTCATCCGTAAATAAAACGCGCCCCCATTCATTTTCACCCCAGTGCTCATGATTTCTGGCAAACTGAAATCGCGCAATACGATGATGCCTAAGAAGCTCTGGGCCTGTTGCAGGTCTACGACTGGTAAGATTGGCTTCTCCGAGTCTTCGTCTAACTGTCCGTTCGCTTATGTTGGTTTGCCGGACGTGATGAAGTCGAATTCTGATATCAACAGCCGTAGCATGACGATTTCGCAGACTTTGTAAGATGATAAAGCGATCATCATGAGCGCTAGTTCTTCATTGGGGACCAGTTCCAAGTCGTCTGGTGTAAGCTCCAGTTTCCAAAAAAACGTGTAAAAATACGGTGCACAGTGCTATTGGATATGTGATACTGTTGGGCAACATATCGCTCACTTCTTCCATCTTGAAGCAACGCAACAATAGCAGCCGCTATTTCGGGATTAACAGCCATAATTTTGTAGGTGAAATAAACGCAGCACAACTTTAAAACGTGTTTCGATCTGTCAAATTTCTCAAAACAATGAAAACAACAGCATTGTTGGTCATGGTTTCATAGCCAACTATGCACTTTGAAGTGATAAGTCCGTTCAATTTTTGATTTTTATTCAAAAACGCTTTTTTTCTTCAAATAAAGGTTCAATTGTTGTTAGAAAATGCTTAAAACACGTTGTTTTGTTTATGTTTAAGATATTATAATAATAAAACATCACAAAGCATTAAAATTTTAAGTTTGTTTAAAAAAATTCAACCGCTCCGTTTTTCGTGCCGGTGAGTGTATTATCGAGAGAATTGTTGCATCACCAAATTCAGTCTATGTAAGACAACATTTTTGAAGCGAAAATTTCTATAGGCACGTTATGCGTTTTTCGGATGAGTAAAATCTAATGTTAATAGTACATCTATAGCTATAAGTATGACGTATAGTGATCGGTATTATCGGGTTATATTTTGATTTTGTTTAAATTTTGACATGCTTGAATTGAACTTTCTTATTATTTCCATTTTTTCTACCAAAAAGTATAAAAAACCTTTCGAAGAAAATTCTTTACCAATTTTCGTGGATTCAATTTCAAAAATATGAATTTTTACGAGGGAGTAAAAAGGGAAAATGTTCTCTCTACCGAATTTCAAGTACAGGCACCCCTGTGATCAGTAAAACAATGAGCAGATTTGTATAACTGTAAAAGTAAAAAGTACAATATAACTAATCTAAACGTAATGTTGCGTTGCAAGGTTGTTTAAAATGAGATTAATTTTTTAAACAGAACAATGCTTCCCCTAACAAAATAAATTAAATGTCGCGTTGCAAGGTTGTTTAAAATGAGATTAATTTTTTAACCAGAACAATGCTTCCCCTAACAAAATAAATTAAAAACAAATTAAATGAAGAAGCAGAAGGTTATGATATTACAGAGGGTCTGGTAAAAAAAATTGCATTTGTGGTATTAAAATTATCTTAGTTTTGTAATTAAAAGTTTATTCGTTAATTTTGAGACATATTTAAAATTTTTCTTACTTTGCGTTCCTAATCCATATTCTCCCAGCAACTTCTGTTTCATAATATTTGCATCCCAATGCTTGAACGGACATCCATGATGTTCTCCTGGCCCAATACTGGACATTATAATTTTAATACAACTGTGCGGAGAATAATTTATCATACCGCCTGCTTTACCAAAGGAATGGCGAACCATATATGCATATTCTTTTTGGAATTTACTATCATCTATATTGGAATTTTTCGTAAATTCGGTACGCCAAAAGTTCATGGTATCTTCGTAAGACAAGCCTGAAAATTGTAAACAAAATGCAAAACTAACTAGATTTAAAAATGATTTGTTAGTTGATTATGGATTTAGGATGTCAACAGCGTTTCAAAATTATTATGTTTCTTTTTTAAGTTTTAATTGCATCATAAGTAAAAGAAAAATGTCGCATAATATATTAAATCGAAAATCGGTATATAATTGTTAATTCTAAATTCAACAAAAATATCGTATTTACCTATTCCTTTTAAAAAAAGCAAAAGCTGTAGTCTTCCTCCATGTTTAAGATGATGAGCAGTCCTAAAGTTAGTGAATAAAGTTTTCATACACAAAGGAAAATGTTCCTTAGAGTAAGAATCCAGATTCGCTGGGTGTACACCTTCTCTATTTTCGTCGACTACATATGTTTTACCTGTATGAACATGATGGAGATTACTTAACAAACTATTCAGTCTATCATCGTCCAAATTTGGCAAACGTTGATTGTATACCTACAGGAGACAAAATACAAATAATCAGGTTACAGTGTGTAAATAACATATTAATTACTTACACATAATGATTCGCTTAGAGATGCACGAAACTGGGTTTGAATAGACACTATCAAATCGCTGGTAGGAATATAGGCGTAACCTTTTTGCACAAATACTTTTCTATATTTTACTAAAGACAAAACTTCAGCAAATGGTACTTTATAGAAGTCGACAGAATTAAAATCTCTTTCAGACACACCTAAAAATATATTTTATTAGTGAACTTCGCCAACTTTAATTAAGTATTTATTAGTTTCAGTAATAATGTTCTAGTTTCATTGTAGCATGTTTAACAAAATTGGTTTCAATCTACAGAACCAGGCGGTGAGCTATGTTCTGCGTTCCGCTTAACGGCGAGTGCGTAATTGATTTACAACATGGGTAATGGTTTATTATGTAGGATTAAGCAATCTCTTCAGAGTCCCTTTTACAGTTTCAACAAATCAAATAAGGGGTCTCACAAGGCAGCATCTTAGGGCCACGTCAGACCTCTCAATTTCTGATTATACCACAACAGCCACATTTGCAGATGACACTGTTATTCTGGAAATTCATGAAAATCCTATAGTTGCGTCCTCAAATCTCCAGGAACATTTCTTCAAATCAGAAGCATGGCTTAACAGGTGAAAAATAAAAATAAACAAAAGCAACACATAACATTCACGTTTAAGAAAAGAAAAATATCTTCATGTCTACATTAACAACTTTCAAATTCCACAGACCTTGTCTGTGAAATATATAGGAATCCCTTTAGAAATCAAACTCATTTGGAAAGACCATATGATTTAAAACAAAGTAAACAAATAAAATAATTAAAAATGAAAAACTTATAATGGCTACTATGCAGTAAATAAAAAGTGCCAATATAAAATAAAATATTGGCATATAATTGTGGAAATGTGCCAGCAAATCCAGTATAGCTATTTTACAAAGGGGGCAGATTTTAGGAGCAATAGTAGACACTCTTTGGTAGGTATCTAACCAGATGATACATTAAGACCTCCATATTGCAACAATTCAAGAGACAATTCAGCAAAGAAACCCAAAGCATCACCAAATATTGGAGTCATATGCTAACACACTACTCCAACCAATATTGGAAGAAAGAAACAGTAGAAGACTGAAGAGAAGCTGGCCATAGACTTAAAATAAAGTGAAGAGGTTTTCTCATCGGACAAGCCTAATCAGAACATTTGTGGAACTTTAAAATTAGTCTCCAGGTCATCAAAATAACCCATAGAATCGTACATTCTGATTTAAATAAATAAAAAACATGCATAATGTACTATACTTTTCCTACAACCACTTACACAAGTAAAAATTCGTGTAAATAGTTGTTTTTCTGTGCGTTTTATTTACCTTGCGTTTTCTTTATATTGCAATTTGTTTACTATGCTTATTTACTACGCACGTTACCAGCTTTTTGCATATATTCAGCATCATTTGTTGATAACAAAAGAATTGCATAGTTCTAAATTCTAGAAACAATGAACTGATACTTTCCATTGCAGCTTGAGCTACAGTTTCATTACCTGACCTAGAAATAAATTTATTGCTGATTAAATAAGATCTTTCAAAGTCAGATGGATTTAAAGTGCCCACTATGATATTTACTATCTATTTTGCTTATGCATCAATGATTTTCTCAACACTAAACAATAACTTATTTCCTGTCAAATTTCTGAGTCTGCAGATGCCCGATTTGATACATTTGGTCATATATAATAAATGATATGATGTTTTGAAGCGCGCCCCTACATATTCCGATATAAACAGTTTGTAATTATCAGTATCTACGGTCAATATTTCTTTATTATTGTAGATCTAGGCGCCAAATTTATTCTTTTTGTGCATACATGATACAAGAAAGTATCATTTTCAACTCGTTTCCACATCACTCTTGATGTAGAGTTGATCGGTGCGTGTTTTTTAACGTGGTATCCCCAAGAGACCTAATCCACAGTCAATATTTGGGTTTATTCGTCAAACTCGGTGTTGTATGTTTGGTCCTCATCATCCTGTATGCTCTTAAGTAAAACAGCTGGAGCTGGTCTCTTTGTCATCTGTACTGCGTCCAGTCCTGTGGTTGTTCTTCACCATCCATGATCTTCTGGAGGTTTCTGAACACCCCTCAAACTCTGTACTTGACAATAAGTATGCAATGAATGATGACCGGTTTTGTGTATCTCCGTCCTCTTTACCTGTCTGTCCCTAGCCAATGTATAGAAATAATAAATAGTAATAATATACAGCTCAGGCAAAAATTCTTTTCATTGCTACATAATAAGGTTAAATAAAATTTGCAATTTTGTCAATATCGAACGCCGCGGGTACCGCTTTTTATTTTGATATAGCTAAAATAAGACGGTATCTGTCTATTTTAGCCGTTACATATTGAAAAAATTGCAAAATTTATCCAAAATTTACTATGTAGCACGAAAAAGAATTAATATATATAATAAATACTCGTATATAATAAATAATGAGTTGAGGGACATGTATGCTATACCACAAACAGGATATTCATGACAACTAATGCACAAAAGTAATAAATTTGGCGCCTAGGTCTATAATAATAAGGAAATATTGACTGTAGATTATGATAATTACAAAAACTTTATATCGGAGTATGTAGGGGCGCGCTTCAAAACATAGCATTTATTATATACGACCAAATGTATCAAATCGGGCATCTGCAGACTCAGAAATCATTACTCTTTTGGAAAAAAGTATTACATAATTGTTTTATGGCGATCTTCGTCTTAATCCGCGCTGAAATTCTCATTTTGTTGAATATTGAAAATTAACCCCCTACTTTGGCGCGTCGTAGAGCGAAAACTATTGGTCGCAGACAAAAAAATGTAGAGGTCAAAATTGTGTACGATTTTGTCCTATACATATTTCATTTGAACATTTTATCAATAGCATTTACCACAACGGCGCTATTTCCCGAAAAGTGTCGCGACGCAGAGTTTTGATCCCTCCACCCCTGGAGCGGCAACCCCCCGAGGTCGCAAACTTAGATGTAGTATCAGGGGACCCCTGTCTACCATCCCCCAGACCATCCCACCAAATTTCATTTCCGACCTTTTGCGAATGACCTCCTTATTCTTTACCCACCACTTGGACTATGACAGTGAATTTTTAACAGTTGGCTTATGGAATAGTTGACAATTTAATGTTTTACATAAACCATTGGCGTGTGATAGTAAACACACAATAAATGTATTTACTTGTGAGAAATGTGTTTAAACATTGTATCTCAGGAATACTTATGTTTACAGAAAATTTTAAAGAAACCAAGAACGTCTAGTATGTTTTTAGTGCCTCATTTTAGGATACTCTTTTCCGATATTAACATAAATATTGGTTACACCCCCAAACAAAACATTTACATTAGGCACGCCATTGCATGGAAAATGTTGGATGACTCATGTGTCCATCCAATTAGGCATTCCAAACAAATGAATTACCAGTGGGCAGGTTTGGTATATCTAAGGGTGGCGACATATGGTGTATTCTATCTACTTTACGTAAAATCATGAATAATGGATTACATTAACATATTTTATGTCAAACACAATAAAAATAATATTTAAAAAACCCACCTATACATTTCTTCATAAATTGGCAGGCTTGGCAAGTACTACTTCGAATAAAAATAGCGTCCAAGTTGCAAGACTATGTCGCTACCCCCCTTAAATATACAAAAATTTCCCACTGGCACCTATTGTTTGACAGGTCGTTGGAATGCCTAATTAGGCATTCCAAACAAATGAATTACCAGTGGGCAGGTTTGGTATATCTAAGGGTGGCGACATATGGTGTATTCTATCTAATTTACGTAAAATCATGAATAATGGATTACATCTAAATATTTTATGTCAAACACAATCAAAATAATATTTAAAAAACCAACCTATACATTTCTTCATAAATTGGCAGGCTTGGCGAGTACTACTTCAAATAAAAATAGCGTCCAAGTTGCAAGACTATGTCGCTACCCCCCTTAAATATACAAGAATTTCCCACTGGCACCTATTGTTTGACAGGTCGTTGGAATGCCTAATTAACATAAAACATAACCTCAATAACCTGTTTACATTTTTTATGACGTGGACCAAGGCCTTGTAACAAAAACAAAAATATCGATTTTTTCAGGAAATGTGGTCAAAAGATACTGATATTTGATTAGTTAGCTGTTTGGTTAGTTACTGTCAGTACATACAAGCTATCCAGAACTTAATTAAAAATGAGTAATACAGTAAACTATGATGAAATGAAAACCATTGTGGAAGATCCAAAAGTTTTAATTATAGATGTTAGAAGTCCACAAGAAGTACAATCAACTGGAAAAATTGGAAATAGTATTAATATACCAGGTGAGATTTACAATTTAAATTTGGTAATTCATAATTATAGAAAATTATACGAAATGGGTAATTAATTTTTAGTTGATGAAGTTACTACAATTTTGAAAGGCAATAAAGAATCCTTTGAAGAAAAATTTGGCAGACCAGCACCAAAACCAGAAGACCCTATAATTTTTCATTGTTTGAAAGGTGGTAGAGCATTGAAAGCATGGGAGGCTTCAACCTCTATTGGATTTACAAAGTATGCCTTATGTTTTTATCTTTTTTCCAATACTCATTTTATTAAAAACGTTTATTTCAAGATAATAGTGCCTACTAATTGAGCTACTAATAATAAAGAAACCTTTTTTTAGTGCTAAGTATTACCCAGGAAGTTATACAGAATGGTCAAGTAAAAATTAAGAAGAAAAACCAAGAAGAAATTTTAGAATTAGATTATATCCAATTGTAACACTTTAATACTGTGTTGTTTTTTAGAGATCTGATGATACCTGTGATTTAATAGAGCACTTTTAACAATTTTAAAATTGGATCCAATCAAATTTTAACATTTTATACTGTGTTGTTTTTAGAGATCTGAAAATACCGGTGATTTAATAAAGCTCATTTTGACAACTTTAAAATTGTATTCATTTAAATATAGTGATGGGTTGATTGGAGCAGCTTCAGTGAGCTGGATCTTTAAAAAGAGGACTGACTTGACTCCCAAAATATTGCACTGCAGATGACAGATCTTTTTGAAAGCTAACCTTAAACTGTGGTGGCGAGGTGGCGTGGCATAACATCTGCTGCTTTAAATCTGGGTCCGAATGACTCGTGTTGCAGTAAAGATAGAGGTGATTCGTATCTGATCCAAAATTCAATTACTATGTATTGACTAAATTGAATCTAGGATCAAATAACAGTCGGGAATATCACAATGATTTGTTGTGCACTTAGCACCTTGAATATGTTTCTTATTTAGAATACATATTTTGTTTGCATGCAAGTAATTGTTTTTAGTTGCCTCTAAAAGGGAATATAATGCAATCATGCAAAAATCGCTTTTCTAGATGCAGAAATCAAACAATTTTAAATAACATTTCAAATATTAGGTAATACAGGTTTCTAGTTAGTCAATATTCAGCTTGGAATATATTTTTCTTCGTTATAAATTATGTCAATGGATGGGACTTATACTAAATGAAATGTGTACTAACATAATTGTTGAGGTCCTTTGAGATACAAAGAATAGGAGATGCTATACTAAAAGTGTCCCCACTTTTGCATTAGGCATACATATGTCATGTGTCAAACTTTTGGTGAGAATAAATGGCATTTTAAATAGATTCATTTAAATAATATAAAAACATTTTCATTCTGTCAATCTTCAACTTATCAGTTTTGGTGAGAATAAATGGCATTTTTTAAAAATAGCCTCATTTAAATGCCAAAAACATTTTCATTCTCTCAATCTTCAAATATAAAACTAGTGACTTCAAACATTGTATTTAGATAGCCTAGTAGAACAATCTGATGTTTCATTGGAGGTAATCCTGTCACTATATCTTTTATGTTATGTTGGAAATGGGGTGTTAATACACTGCAACCTAAAAGATCTATTGTGCCCCTTCTGTCACTATTGCAGCAAGGAAATGTCTCAATGCCTACATTTGTTAGAACACCTAGAGAACTTCATCAAAATGGCCCATGCGCTAGCGCTCCCTTCATCATTGAGTATAGAATTCTATGTACATAACATTTTCTTTATTTTTAAATTTATTAGAGAAATCGATTCATTATTAAGTTTTGACAACCGTTCGATGATTCAGTAGAGGACAACAAAATTATCAAAGACATGAACTGGACACGATAGAGCTTGCTGCTATCTATTGTTACTGTTTATTGTCCTCCAAGATAATTTGCATCGAGATTGTTCTACTAGGCTATCTAAATACAATTTTTCAAATAAATTAAAAGTTTGACTCTAATTCAAAATTTTAATTACAATTTTCCATTATTATTGGTACTGCTAAGTCATATCTCAAGATAGTGTTTGTCTTCTCTACTTCAATTCATCTCTTTGTGGAGGTCACAACGACCCATATTTAAAGATTCAATTAAACTGAGATCCGGCTCACAGATCACAGATTCATTGGCCCAGATTTTGAAAATAATCCAGATTCTCCATTACTATTTAAATATTTAACCTAGATAACCCTGCCATTTCCTAATAAATTTTTACACTACCATAAAAAATGCAGAATGAAAATAGAAGTATATATTTACCTGGGGTGGAATCAAACAAATCTTGTCTCAATTTATCTTTAAGATCAATTGGAATGGGTATATAAGTTAGATTATTTAACTGCAGAAACTTCATTATTCCCTGTTGAGTTTGAACCAAAAATCTAAACTTGAACCACTCCATTTCCCTGGTCAAAAACCATCTTCGTAAGTCTCCAGATCGACAATAAGCTAATCTTAGAATAAAATGGGAAACATGATCTGCTTTTCTTGCTTGAACATCTTGTTCTGTTTGACTGAAATCACGCAGATAAAATGTAACAAAATATGGATTTCTTTTGTAAGGAGCAATACCTGCAGTAACCACCTAACAACCTTAGATACTTTCTTAAACCCTGTTTAGCAAGCTCTTCTTTGATATACTTTTTCCACTCCTCTGAATATTGTCTGTGGCCTTTGTTCGAAGCTTCTTCCATTATCCGTAACAACTGAAGTCGTTCTAAGGCTAATTCTTCGAATACACTGAGGGCAATTTCGTTTCCAGGGCTCTTTTTGTACATGCTAACATCGTGTTGATAATCTGAATCCAACTCAGTATACTCGATTGTTCGATGAACTCTTCTCCTTCCTACTGAGGTGTCCATATTAGATAGTAGGATTAAAAAATTATCTTATTTAGAACTTTAATAGATGAAAATGAAACCACATAACAACTACAAAAAATATAAAATGGTAGTATTTGTATTATTTCCCGCCGAAATATTTATGTCAAAATTTCTTCTTCTTTTATTGAGTCTATATTTGATCTATATAAAGATAACAGCTTTCAAATATATTTTTTAATCATATTTTGTCTCAAATACATTACACAGAATAATTTATTTATCTAAGTTCATAAAGTGTTTGCAGTTTAGTATTTTGCAAGTTAAGCGAAAAAAAAAAATAACTTTCGTGGAGGACTTATATATCTTAAGAGTTAGAGACCACACCACGAGGCCAGCTGATTTTGACATTAAACGTCATTAACATAACCTTTTTGTCTCATTCATAATACATATTTATCGAATTTTTAAAATAAATAATAAATCCTGACAATGCTATTAATTTAAAAATAAACAGTAGTGATCATGATACACGTGCTTCATGACGCTGGTGATGTAATTAAATTGAAAATTTATATATCTGCATTTTCAGGTGAGTTTATTCCGAGATTTAAATTTGTTTGAATTATGATACAATGTAAATAGTTACATTCTAGTTGATTTGGTTTTAAAATAACATTGAGAGATCCTGTGTCTTTCAGATTAAACTAATTATTGATAAGATGTTTATTTAGTGTATTTTTGTTGTTAGATATATAGATCCTTCAAGCTGCGCGTATTTAGAATATGTTAATAATAATTAACTTTATAGATTAGAGAAAGTTGATACGTAATATTGATTAATTAATCATCTATTGAATAAGTAGATAGAGTATGTATTATTAATAGAAAAATTGTTTGCTTATTTTAAATAATCATAAAATGATCACTCTTAGAGCAAATAACTCCTAAATTATTATTGTTGCAAAAGAATGGTATCTACATAATTGTTCCTAATTTTTAATATGTAATACAGTTTTATGTAAACACTGATTATTTAATATTGATTTTTGACGATGATAATACATTGTGATTTGTATACAATATATGTAATTAGCCTTTCCAATTAAAAAAAAATCTGATAATGAAAATAAAATTTTAAATTTATAACAATAATTGTTAATATTGTTTAATATTATTTTAAGCTAGGAACAATTTATAGACAAGTTATAAAAGAAAATAAAAAAAAACGACTTCAAAATCATACATATTCCCTTAAAAATTGAGTTTTTTTATTTTCTCATAGATCATTAGATCCTGACCAATTGTATATGGGACTACCCCTGAGGGATCCCCTTTCTAACAAAAAAGAATCATAGAAATCGGACAACGTGGCAAAGAATTATCGCGGAAAATACATAAAAAAAAATATTCCGACGAATTGAGAACCTCCTCCTTTTTTGAAGTCGGTTAAAAACCATCCATTTAAAAAAGTAAATCATTTGTCATTATTAAATCAAATTGACCTGTCAGTGAATTATAAAAAAAATAATTTGGGAATTCAGAATACCTGGTTGTCATGTTTATTCTATTAACAATTATATACTGGTATTAATAGTATATTATTTAACTTAAGTATAACATAAAAGTTATTCTCTATGGATATATTACAGTACATCAGAAATAACCGAAGCCAACAAGGTTCCAAGATTCGCTTCCATAAACACCATACAAGTGTTATCTGTGTCTTGTCTAAATTTGGCACATCTCGCAGCTTTTATTATTGTTGTTGATCATTGGACCATTATAACACTGTCTTTTTGAGTGTAATTTAGCCAATCTATGGCTATAGGATAAAAATAACAGCTGCTATTGGAATCCATTAGAATCTATAATTGAGTGAACTGATATGCCTAATACATGATTTTATTCTCATAAACACGAATATTAACACAACCAATCAAATCTTATGTAGTTATGTAAACAAAAATAATTAATTTGTTAAAATGTCGTAATATTTGAAGCATTTTTAAAACTTATTTCAGTTATTTTATAATTATTGTTTAAAATTAGTAATTCTAGTGAAAAATATGATCCAAACATATATTTGAATTTACCTGTTTCTTCAATTTACCTGCAAATAGTTTATAGTAGTTAAAATGTCTGACACCCTCAGAAAATGTTGCCTACATGAAAACATTATATAAATGTATGAAACGGTCAAGAACTGTCTAAACAACATACAATTTACATAAAATAAACCTTTTTCTGGAAGAATCTGGTAAAACGATATATTATAAGGTAAATCCTAATATACAAGGTAGTCTCCCTGGATATTTACCTAACATACCATATTTGTGTATCTCCTATTAGTCTAAGATCCGAAGTAAAGTCGACCTTCACCCATATGTTTAATGGATAAAAGTTTCTTTTTATTAAATAAAATGTGTTTATAAATATACCTCAAATGGGTTGCCTAAGAAAATACGGTCCAGACTATTTATTTTCTTAAAGTAAAAAAAACGACACCCTGTAAAGTATTCTCCAGATGCTTTGACTATACCTTAACTTTAATCAGCTCACCTTAGGATGGATTGAAGCTTAAGTTTAAAATTTGGTGTCTTTCTCTTTATCCGTTTTTGAGTTATCTTCAAAATTCGAAATTTGCACGTTTCCTCAAATATCTCGAATTAGGTCCATTTTAGGGAAATTATGTATAGGAACAAAATAATAGAGAATGACATCATAAGCAACTTTTATCATGATTCCTATACTTTTCTTATCTGTACACAGAAAGAAAAGTAAAAAATGGCCGTGACGGTATTTTCCTAGGCAACCTATTTGCGGTATATTTAAATACATATTTTATTTATTAAAAAAAACTTTTATCCATTAAACAGATGGGTGAAGGTCGACACTACTTACGGATCCCGGACTATATACAGGTCCCTACTATTTCATAGGAACATTATTGGTATTTCTTAAACTGTTACAGATAGAAAGTTGGTTTAGTTAGACAAACGTTGCGTAGTTTTGTGCTTATTAAAATGGTGCCAAGAAACCTTTGATATGAGTCCCTATGAAATAGGTAATTATCCTGCATTACTTCTATTATCCAATTTTTGTACAGTAGGTAAAACTATTATGTTGTAGTGTAATCAACGGAAAGTAATTTATAATAATGCTATTATATAATCGTTTCGAAACGTGCAAACAAAAAATATTTCGTCAAAATTGAAAGAAAATACATTTCACAAAATATTGAATCGACTTCTAATTGTAAGCAATATACTTACAGCATTAAAAAAAAGTTGCCTATAAAACTATAATAAAATACCTTCAATAACATTTTTATTTTTATTTTTAATAGGTCGTAGAAAAAATGTATAATGTACAACTCGAGTAGAATGTCAAGATATAGCAGGGACAGAAGTTGACAAGACTTTTGGTAGGTAGAGAGGTGGTAAAAGTCAAATCCCGTCGGAGGACATCGAGAATTTCGCGGTAATGTTTGTTTGCCATTGTCGTATCATAGAATAAAAATAATACCAAATATTTTAAATTGTTACCGGCGGAATCGGGCAAACATATCTATTTATGGGTTACAAATAATTATTAAACAAGTAGTCATATTCCAAATCATAATTCTAGAAAACTTCAATAGCCATTCACAATTTATTGAACTATTTACGCGAAATTGGTATTGGCATTAATAAAATAATTTTCTACGCCAATATTTCGCGTTCACTTCGGTTAGTTCGCGGCAAAACTGTCAAGTCCTGCGTATGAAGTGGGGGACTGGTACAAACTTCTGTCCCTGCTTTACTCTTAACAGAGAAAATTCCAATAATGTCTCTATTACGAGGCGGGCGGGCAGCGAAAGTGGAAACACAGTAAAGGTCAACAAAGAACAGGGTCGCTTTTAGGTACAGTCGTACGACATTGCCCCCTCCTTCAGAGATAGTTTCTCCTGAAACTTAAACTGAATGATTTTATCTGCAACTGGATGTTTACCAAATGTCTTCTCCAAGACTATGATGTCTAAATACGCCGGGTATCTTTTCCAAGATAACTCTCTCAATACATTTTCCATCAGTCTTTCAAATGTCGCGGGGGCATTACATAGTCCAAAGGGCATAACATTGAGTTGCCACAATCCAGATCCGGTAGTAAAAGCTCCTTTTCTTTGTCTATTGGGTCCATTTCCGCCTGGTAATATTTAGACTTCAAGTCTAAGGTGGAAAATAGTTTACTGCCTGTCAATGTGTCCAACATATTGTCGATTCGAGTCAGAAGATAACTGTCTTTCTTTGTAACATTGTTCAACTGACGGTAATTCACACAAAAACTCGTAGTTCCATCCTTTTTCTGGACCTGGACTACCGGAGTGACGCATGGACTGGTAAAAGGTTCTATCACCCTATCTTCCTCCATTTGCCGAACAGCACTTTCAGCTTCCTCTGTCTTGGCCTTTGGTAATTTTCGAGCTGATTGACGAATCGGCGTGGCGTCGTCAGTGTCAATTTTATGTTTTACAACGTAAGTTATTCCTGTTTTTCCTTCTTTTTGTACAAAAATGTCACTATATCGTCAAAGAAATTCCTTTATTTTCCTTTTCTCTAATTGATTCAAAGATTGACCAGTAACTGCAATCATTTGGTCGAATTTGTCGTTGGAATTATCAGAAGTTGTTGTCTGACGAATTATGAAAGTTATGGGTACACAAGTTCCGATTGTGGCCTCCTTGATGATAATTGGGTGATAATTAACGTTTATAAGACGTACTGGACTCTCTTTAGCAGTCGTGGCTAACCCCTTTTCGATATTTCGATAAGAATTCCTCATATAACCTCTTCATCGTGGTTCCCAGGTTGCATCATGACCGGTGTTCCTTCTGTCATAGTTTCTTGAAGCTGTGTTATTACAATTTCACTTCTTCCAGGTAACACCGTATCTTCATTTACAGCTACTGGCACGGTACTGTCCCCATTTAATTGTAGGAATACCTCTTCGGCAAGAACTTTGATCACTCTGTTCTTAAAATCCAACTGAAAGCCATGTAAGTTCATTACATCCATTCCTAGTTTAACATATTTTTCGATATCAACGACAATAACAGTTTGAGTCAACTT